CCAGCAGGCGTGCCAGCGCGAGGCAGAACCTCGAGACGCGCCAGCCAGCCAGTAGCCCCAGGGAGTAGTCGAGAGTGGGAGAACGGCGACTGATCGTCGTAAACGCAGGACACAAGGAGCGATGACTGTAGGTGCGGCAGCTGATCGCTGCAAATGCAAGGAGGGGGAGAGAGAGAGAGAGAGGAAAAAGAGCGAGAGAGAGAGGGAAAGGAAGAGGGAGAGAGACAGGGAGGGAGAGAGAGAGAGAGAGAAAGAGAGAGAGAGAAAACAAAAAAAAGAAAGAGAGAGAGAGAGAGAGAAAAAAAAAGAAACGAGAGAGAGAGAGAGAGAGAAGTGGCGGCGGCGAACCCGAAGGGCAGCTTATCTCTGCAAAAACATGGACAATCACAAATGGCGAACGTGGAAAACCCCAAGACATAAGGCCCGGAGAAGAAGAGGAGCAGCTGACCGTGGCAGATACCAGAAGGTGCGGCAGCTGATCGCTGCAAACCTGGAAAAAATGTTGCCCGTTTTTGTTTTTCCGTAGCGGCCGCAAGCGGAAGCGCGGGCGGCGTCCGAAGTCAGCCCGGGCAACCGGCCAAACCTAATTACCCAAGCGCGCGAACTAACGGCCGCCGAACCTGCCGCCGAGGGACGCCGAGGAGCGACGCAGGGGAGTGAAGGCAGAGCTGCAAGAGATGCCAAGTGCGCCGGGCGGCTGAAGTGCAACCGTTCTAATAGAGCCACCCGAGCAAAGCACGGCATAGCGTGGGGCTGAGCAGGCAGCCCAGCGCACCTGCGTCACATGTCAACAGTGGCAACCTCAGGTGGTTGAACCAGAAGGCTAAACCACCCATGAGCAATCCACGTGGAGGTTCACCCCGCCATTGCAAGGCGGCAGCTGCAAACACGGCCAGGCTGTCAGGTAGGGATTTGTGCGTCGCAGCCGCGTGCGCCAACAGCGAGTCGAGTCGGCTCGGGCTGCGAGCGAACCTAACATCTGGTAGAGATACATGTTTTTGTCAGCGGCCGCGCGCTCGAGCCAGGTCAGAGCGGGCTATGCAGAGACTTACTCGGCAAAGGAAACGCGGGGAAAACAAACAGAACAACGCGCGAGGCGACAGCTAAGCGCGGCCGAGGCCTCAGAAAGGTGGCTGCGGGGACTGAGACTGAAAGGAACTGCCAGCGCGCACAACTGCAAGTCCGTCGGAGGCGCCAAACGTCGGAAAGTCAACGACGGCCAGGGACAACTCCGAGAGAGAAAACGTGATACCGCACCTCGGACGACTGCGTAGGCGCCAGGGCGGCCGCGGCCAACGAAACGTCGGTCGAGGTGGGAAAATGAAATGCACAGGCGAGGCCCCGGACGACGCGAAGCGCCAGAACCAGGGTGGTCCAAAAGACAATCGGCCAAGGAATTGTTGCCAGAGGCGAGAGCGCTGGTAGGCTGCAATTCCCAGGGTGGCGGAAGTCGAGGGGCCCCTGGCAGCAGTGCGCGCGAATGCGGGGAAGAGGCTTGGCCGCGACGCAAGCCAAAATGGCGCGGGTCACCGCGTGCCTGCGCGAGAAATATGAACCGCGAGTTGCGCGGAATGGAAGAGGCCGAGCGGATGCAGAGCAGCCGCCACCCAGCAAGGGGCCGAAGCCAGGCACCGCGCGGGGGGGGAGGGGGGGCGCCCCGACCCTGCGGGCCGCGGGGTGGCGCGGGAAACGCGCCCCAGGTGCGGGGGCAGCTACAGCGGGCCGAAGGCGGGCATTGGACAGGCGGACCGCTGCCCCAGCAGCAGCCCACAAGTCAGCATTGCCAGCGAGACCCACAGCTCAAGCCCCAGGGACGGGGAGCGGCGGGGGCAGGGCAGGAGAGGCACCAGGGGCGGAACTCTGCCTGCACGGCAGGCGGCCACCGCGGGAATGCAGTGGCGCGCCAGGGGTGAAACGAAGGAGAGACAAGTGGGCCACCGCCACGTAGCGTCCCTCGAGTCACCGAAGTCAGCAGACCCAGGGCCCGCTCCCGGAGGGGCGGAGCGACGGGAGCTGGGCAGGGGGTGGCCCCAGAGTGGGAGCGCAGCCTGAAAGTCGGGCTGCGGCTGCAGCTGATGCTGCGAGTGTCAGGCCCAGGGAGGTGCAGGCGAGGGCCGGAGTCGGGGCCCAACGCCAAGTTCCTGTCAACACGCATGTCGAAGGTCGAGCCAGGGAGGACAGTGTGAGTGGCGTTCCGATTCAACTGGCCTGATGGGCCCCAGTGTACGGATGGCGATGATAGCGAAATGCGTTCTGGGATGGCCTAACGGAACCAATTTTACTTTGAGGGCCGGGGGCGAAACCCCGGCGGACCCCTTGGGTCAAGGTCAGAACGTCTGCAGAGAGAGCGGCGGTCGGCTGTCCGCTGGGACGTCGGGCGGGCGTCGGTTCGGGCTGGCCAGGGCGAACGAGGACCAGAGTCGGAGGTCCACGCCGAGCCCGCAGCGGCCACAGGTCGGACATCGAGACAGGGATGGAAGTGACCGCGTCGGGCGGAAGAAGACAGACACCGAAGCCATTGGCCTAGCGGGCCCCACTTTACGGTCGGCAATAACAGCGAAACCCGCTCCGACGTGGCCTAACGGGCCCACGGGCTGGAAAAGCGGGGGCGCTGCCTCAGTGAGTCCGTCAGGCCGGGGCCAGGGCAGCGAAAGAGGAGGGGGGGGGCGTGGGCAGTCGGCAGGGGCGTCAGGTCGGCGTCTGGTCGGGAGTGGCGGGGCGGGCACGGCAGGGTATCCGGGGCGAAATCAACGCGCCCGGGGAGGGGCGCGAGGTCGGAATGGGGTGCGTTGGGGCACGGCGGGAGGGTGGAACCCTATAGCCATGTGTGTGCGGGAGCGCTTGTCTCCCCGCCCGTCGCCGCTATCCTCTCCGCCACGCTTGCCCGCTGCCTGCCAGCCATCCCAGGGTTGTCGGGAGCTGGTGGCGTGTCCCATGTGTTGCTGGGAGCTGGTACCCTGCTGTCCTGACCACTTGTCGCGCTCACGGCCCCAATTGACCTGCAGCTCGTGCTTACGATCCATCTCGTATGCGTCGTACCCACAGCGCTTCCAGGCGTCGAGGAAAGCGCGGCACGTGCTCTCGGGATTAAAGGCGGGGTCGCCCTTCGGGCCATTGGGAGCGGGATGTTTCCGAGTGGAGATCTTGACAGCGGGTGGTCCCGCGTGCTTGTCAAGATCGACGTCGGCCAGCCGCTCCTTGTACATGGGACCCCCCCCGACGGGGTCGAGGAGCCCATCGGACACCCGCTTGGGGCCCTTCTCGCGGGGGTTGGCGAAAGGAGGCTTTTCGCTGGCTTGGAGGTTCAATGTCCTGGGGGGCTGGCGCGGGCGTGCTGGAGCTGCCAGTCTGCGGGTGATGGCCGCGCCACCCAGGAGGGGGGGACGAGCGGCTGCCCGACTCTCCCGCTGGGGCGCTGTTGTCCGCTGGTTTGTGTGCTGGCGAGGGAGGACGCTGCGGGAGGTCCTGTACCGACACGGGCGGTGGGCTGGCACTGGCCACCCCTCGCGGCTGGCGTCGCTCTGGCGGTCCCTCGCTGAGGCCGCTGAGCGCCCCCAGCGGGTCATAAGGGGGACAGCCTCCAGCTTCTGCGCCGGCTGATCCGGGAGAAATAGAAGGCGGGGAGCCCTCGGGTCTGGTCGCGCCGTCTGCGGAGCGACAGGGGGGAGGTGTAGGAGACAGGGGGGGCGGCATCACCTCTGTCCTCATCGTAATCACTCTTGTCGACCTCCGCCTTGACTGTGGGTGCTGGGCTCGTTGGTGGGCAAGCCTCTTCACTCGGGGAGAGGGGCTCTGTCGCCCCAGGGCCTGACGGCGGGGGGGGGCGTGGTCCCCCCGGGGCGCTGGCAGCCCGCTGCCACTGCTGACTGGGGCGGGCCTGTGGGCAGCAACCGCCGAGGAACTGTCGTGTGCCGATTCCGTAGTGCGCCCAGGGTCCGGCTGCAGCCAAGCGAGCGTGGAATCCCTGGCCGGGGAGTCGGCGTCGCGAGCGGAAGGGGCCGTGGGATCCTGCCCCGCCAAGGTAGTGATGGAAGTGGTGGCGAGAGTGCTGGCGTCCAGGCTGGCGATGAACCCCGCGAGGACGTTGAGGTCGTGTCGGAATGGGTTCTGTCCTCAAGTGGGAGCGGTACTCCGGAAGAAAGTCGACCACGACTGCTGGTGAATGGACTGTGTAGCAAGTGCCCGACTACCCTACCCTGGCCGCTGCCCATCGCTTGCCTTCCCAAGATGCGCCGGCGGGGAGTCCCCCTTCGGAGATCTCGGGGCCATACACCTTGCGCAGGAAGGGGGCCAGCTGATGCGCCGTCCACGAGAATTCTTGGTCGTTTGGGGCGGGGATGTCGGCGCCGTACTCCCGGACGAAGTCCATGCATTTGTCGTCCAGCGAGGGGTGGTAGTCCCTCAAGAAAGCGACCAGGGTGTGCGGGGTTTCCTTCAGTTTGTTGCGACGCCCGTGCCTGGAAACGCTCCCTTCCGTCTGGTAAGGATACGCGTATCGTAAACAATTTTCCCCTGGCGGCCTGCCATGATTCCAGCTGTGGGTGGCTTATACCAAGGTCGGCGGCGGTTGACGTTATCTCAATCGTCACCCTCCCGCTGGTGACGGAAGCAAGCGCGCCCGTGACCAGATCGATATCGAGACACTCACATGGACAGTCGAGCCGGATCGGATACTCGGGGTTCGGAGCGGGGACCCAAAATTCACCGCGGACCAGATCGGAAGTAAAAAAAGATCAGCAATGCACCATGGAAAAACAGCCGCTCGGCATCGCTCGGACGTCCATTCCCCGCGTATGCTTCGATTTCGCTCGTCCATGTTGTCGCAAGGTGGTCCCATCTGCTCCTCGATGGCCCTCGCCGAGAAACAGAGCACACGTCCGAGCGATGCCAAGGCTGGGGGTACGCTGCTCGGGATGCGACTGGGTGAGCCCCCCCCCACCCCCCATCTGCGGCAGCAGCAAGGCGGGCGGCGGGCGGTGGGCGGCTCGGCGGGGGGCTGCCTTTGCCGAGGGCCCTGCCGCCGTCGGCGGGCCTGACAGGGGGGCTGACGCTCGGGGTGGTGGAGGTCGCGATGAACGACAAGGGCAGTAGAAAATCCAAGAGAAACTGCACAAACAGAAACTTTCGACAGTCCGCACGGATGAGTTCTTACATCTGCGCGTCTTCGGCGCCGCCCCTGGCGCGCGCCCAGCGCAGATCCAAGAAATCCACGACGACCTCCAAAGGTTGATGTCTATGTGTTTTGTTTGGTTCCTCAAAGCAAAGACGTGGTTCACAAATCAGCGCACGTAACTAGCTCTCCTGGCGCCTCTCGGCGACGGCGGCGACAGTGCATCGAGGAAAGCGCTCTACGGCGGGGCCAAAACTGCCCGCACGCAGCAGACTGCGCAACTCCCTCGCCCCGCCCCTCCCGCCCCCCTTTTCCTGCCTCCCTGGGAGACGTTGAGTGCACTACTCAAGCGCGAGACGGCTTGCGAACGAACAGCCCCCCACCCACCGTTGGCCCCCCGAAATGTCCGCAGGGAAGCTGCCACCGGGGGAGCCACCGAGCGGCCCACTGCGGCAGAGGCGCTGGACGATCCGCTCCCCGGCCCCCCTTCGGCGTCGATTGAGTGGCAACATCTGGGGATGGGGTCCCCAGAGGATTAAAAAAAACAATCTCCAGGGGGGGAGAACATAGAATTACGACACGTCTCACGTTCGTCGATCATAGGCGGTTCTCCAGCCTCGGGGTGCCTTCCCGCAGCTGCGCCTCTCCGAGAACGTCCCGTGCGTTCCTTGATGACGCAACAGGGGACCGGCTCAGGGAGGGAAACATCGAGCTGGAATGGGCGATACGTCGCCGATAGATCGGCGATGAGCCCCCGACAGCGAGTCCGCACGCTCCTGGGCGGGGCGGGCTACCCTACCCGTTGGTCGGAAGAGGTGGGTAGAAGCATGAGGTAGGAAGGCGTGAAAGGTAGATTGGGCTTCCGCCCGCCAAAGAAAGATGAAAGAAAAGGGAAACCCACTCGATCATTGAAGCAGGAAGGCGCCTATACTTTCAACGACCGACAAGTATCGAGCGCCTATCGGGGATCGATGTGCACTTGGGTGGCGACGCATACCCCCCTGAGCGTATCCCCCCCTTACGTTGCCCCTGACCTCCAACCTGGATGGACAACACGCTAGCGGCGGGAACGACGCGGGGCAAGCAGAATCAGTCAGCATCGAATCGGGAAATCGGAGCGAGTCGGAACTCGAGTCAAATCGGGCCGCGTCGGCACGGGGTCGGAATCGGATTGGATCGGCAGCGCCAAGACTCACACCTTCGCCATGCCAACGTCGGGCAACAACGGATCGTCGGAATATCGGGATCGCGTCGGATCGGGCCGGCCGAAATCAATATCGCATCGAACGATTCGAAATGCACCCTTGGCAGGCGGCTGGCTACCTGGACAACACCAGCCACCTGGATAACACCGGGGGGCACGACACCAGTTACCTGGACAACGCAGGCGACCTCAAAAACGCCCGCGGGTATGACACAGAGCGGGAAGGAGGAGGCCGCTTCACCAACAGCACGGACAGCTGCGGGAACCTCGACAAAGAGGACTCAGGGTGTCCCACAGGGCGCTGGCCCAGAGAGGCAAGCAGACCCAGCCACTACATGGGGGAGAACGGCGGATTTGTGTCGTGACGACCTGCGCGTTGGCTTCTGACACCGCGTGGCTCGTTCAACCTTGGGACGATCGGCGGCTTCTCGATCGCCAGATCATCCCGTATTGAACATTTCTGGGCCACTGGCGGCGTTCAACCTTCAATGCCCCCACCGGGTTCGTCGCCGCGTCGACACGGCACGAACCTACCGTACCCAGCACTAGCCTTCAGAAACACAAACGGGTCCACGGGCCCTGGCCGCCGACTCCACAGGAGGGCCGGTCAGAGTCTACCGCGGCAACCGCTGCTAAGCGCCGTCGGGGAGGAGGCGGAGGAGAGGCCAGGGTCCACCTCGGCGCCTCCGTCAAGCGCCGCAGCAAATGGCCTTGCGCCGAAAGCAACCTCGGCGTCCGCGCAGCGCTGGGCGCACCGCGTCCTCGGCCACCTCCTCAGGCCACCGAGGCTGTCCGCACCATTTCGCGTGGAGAACCACGAATGCTTCCTCGATATCTCCAGCCTCTTGGATTCGTCTTCCCTGTGCGGCCCCTTGTCGGCATCCCTGCTGCTCTGCAGGGACAGGCCGTCGTCACCTGAGCGGGCTTCTCGGGCGGCGCAGCGAGCGTTGCAGCACACTTGCGCGGGAGAACGCGCAGACTTCTTGGATCGGCGCAAGGACACCTCTGACGGCGCCTGCGGCGACGCCCCTGTTGCGCTCCGCGCGCCAGGGAGGAGGGGCACAGCACCGATCCAAGAAATCCGCGCGGACCTCCATGCCTATGCAATTGTTGCTGCTCTACGCTTCGGGCGCCGCGCCCATTCCTGAGCGCTCCGGAACGCTCTGAGAGCGTTCTGGAACGCCCTCGATCGATTAGGTGGCGACATCGGAACCCTACCCCCACCAATCCTCGACTACCCTGACTCGATGGGAGGCGGGGGTAGGGTTCGGATTTTTTGCTATGCGTTTGGCGAATTCCGAAACCTGCCCCCGCCGACCATCCAGTTGGCCTGAATTGTTGCTCAGCGAGGGTAGAGTTCGGATTTCATTGCCGAACCCTGGATCGGAGGTGGCAGTGACAGGCAACCTCGAATCGAAACATCGAATCGAATTCAAACATCGCATCGAAACTGCGTGCCTCGGGCGGACATCGTATCGAATCGGCATCGGAATGCCTGGGCGCTGAACCCCAATCGAAGCGGAATCGACATCGAACCGGCCCAAGCCAGAATCGAATCGGAAGGCCAGCCAGACGCCAAACACGGCCCAAGCCGAATCGAAATCGAAAACGAATCGCACCAGCCAAGGCCGAATCGAAATCGAATCGGAAGGCCAGCCGGACGCAAGCCACGCCCACGGCCAACACCCACACCACACGATGGTGGGTGCTGCTCGGTAGCATGGTGGGCTCTTGCCTGGCCCCTGCCACAGTGCTCGGTTGTTTTTGTTTTCCTCCACTGGCCACGCGCTATCAGCTATGGCCGAGTTCAGGTGCGACCGCTGAGGGGCCTGGCGGTGCCTTGGCGTGCCGAGGGGCGGGAACCAAGGACAGGGACCGCCAGGCGGGTGGCCCCTCACTGGCCCAAAGCAAGCCGCCAAAGGGGACGGAGGTGGGCCAGGACGGGGCCTAGTCAGAGTCTCCTGACCCGTAGCCGATGGGAGGGATGAGAGGCGTCTCATCCTCCTCTTCGCGCAGGGAGCTCGAAAGCAGGCGCAACTGTCTGGCCTCGCACCTCTGTGGGCGAGGAACAGGGTGCGGCGCGGGCGGCGGCGGCGGCGTCGAGGCTAGTCGAGCAGCCGTTCGCTCACGCTGCTGTCGCTGCTGCCTCTGAATGTCTGCGGTGTTGTACCGCTCTGGTGTTGACATTACGGCAAGCGATCGGGGATGCTTGCCAGCGAGAAGTCTGTTCACGCGCCCCCCGTTTCGGGGCTTGCCTGGGCATTTGCCAAGCGGGGATCTAATTACATACAGGGTGTAGTACCCACAGACAAGGCAGAACAGAATGGGCGCATCAGGAAGGTCCGCGATCGCCATCTGGTGGGAGGCGTGAATGGCCTCCAAGCACTCTCGAGCGGACGGCAAGCTTGCCGCTCGCGGGCCACTGCTGCTTTCACCACACGGAGGCGCGTGGACGCGTGCCACCCAGGGCTTGAGCTAAATAGTATGTTTCGTCTTCGTTCATGTGTTCGGTTTCCCTCGCTCTGACGTCGTTCCACCTTTGCTGCAAATCAAAATCAAAACGAACACGGTGCACGACATCGCAAAACATACACCGTTTAGCTCGAGCCCTGGTGCTCAGCGCCCAGGTCACCCCACGGAGGCCACGACCCCAGGCTGCACAAGAACATCCAACAAACACGAAGAACATTAGGCCCCCTCCCTGAACCGATCTCGATCTTATACCTCGGTCCGACCGTACTCGGTCCGTGCGCCCCACAAAGGGTCGAGGGGGCCCCTGGGACGCTCACGACGAGGCGCAGCTGCTGGAGGGCATCCCGAGGCTGGAAAACCACCGCGGACCTACGGAAACGTCGGACAACGCCTTGCCTCGAAATCCCTGCGAGTGCACCCTCGTCGCCGTCGAGAAATCCGCCAGCTGCCTGGTCGACCTCGGGGCCTGCCACTGGCCCTTCCCGCTGGAGGTGTCGCTCGCGGCCGACGAGCCTGCCGCCGGGCGGCAGACGACGACGACGACGACGGCGGCGGCGGCGGCGGCGGCGGCAGCAGAGACTTACCGGAACCAAAAGTCGTCGCGCATCCCTGTGCCTTCTTCCGGAGGTTCTCGGAGGCCCTCGAAGGTCTGCAACGGTTTCACTGGCTCCGAACTCCCAGAAATTTCTGGAGGGGGAAGGAGTAGGACGCAGAAGAAACGGGAAAGAGGACGAGGTAGAGGATATTGTGGAGGATGCGGTATGTGGTAGAATGATCTGGAGGAGAAGGAGGAGGAGCAGGCGAAAACATGAGGATGAAAATGGCGCATGAAAGGGAGGGAGGAAGAGACAGGAGGGTGGCCGCTTTTTGGCTGGGTGACGAGACTGGCCAGGAGGGGGAACCATTCGAGCGACAGCGCGTTCTTCTGGTGGATCGGGCCGACGTCCGCACGCAACGATGTGGGATGAGAGCGCGCACCGAACAAAACGACACGCCGTGGAGTACTCGCGCAAAGCGACACCACACCTGGCGGCACCGAGCCCAGCCACTCGCGGCCCGACAAACAACAAAGAAACCACACCGAGCAATGCCAACACACGCTCGCACCGCGCACACGGGGGAGCAGGACACTTAGGTGGCGACATCCGAACCCGAATTACCCCCACCAACCATAAGACGAAGCCAGGACGAGTATAAAATCGTGTGAGGGAAAATCGAGGATCTCTGAGATCTGGCTGGCTCTGGAGGATGTCTCGGGCTCCGCGGCCTTCTCAGAGCGTTCTGTAACGATCTGGAACGGAGTTCTCCTCTTCCTAGCACCGCCCGACTACCCCCACCAACCATTCATTACCCCAAGGCCAACTGTCATCCGAAAAGAAAGAGGCTACGCAATTCGCCCCATCGGGACTCTTCGGGCCAAATTGCCTACGGTGCAGCATCGAACGAACATCGTCAACGACGTGACTGGAGGCGGAGCGGAGAGATGCAGTGCACGGTGGAAGGTTCAACCACAAAAAAACGAACCCACCCACCCTGCCAGCCTACAGAGACCAATGGGACGCGTGGCATAACCTAGAAACTCCCATCGCCAATCTTGGTCGGCGATTGCTGGAGAAAATGTTCAGGACTCTCTGCAACGCGATTGACAATGGTTGTTGAGCGGTCCTGAGGACCTGCGAGTTCCCCAAGAGGCAGGAAAATGCCCAAACCCACACGTCGTGATTTTTGTTGTACGACGCGAGCATGTCGAGGGACGGGTTCTCCGTCTCGGACCGATGTTGCAGGTCCCGACCGAGTATTATTCGTCTTATTCTTCTTATTTTTATTATTATTATTATTATTATTATTATTATTATTGTTCGTCTTCTTCTTACTATTTTTTCGTATTATCATTATTCTTCTTCTCATTATTATTATTATGATTATTATTATTATTCATGTGATTATTCTTCTTCTTTTTCCTCCTCCTCCTCCTCCTCCTGCTCCCTCCTCCTCCTCCTCCTCCTCCTCCGCCTCCTCCTCCTCCTCCCTCCTCCTCCTCCTCCTCCTCCCCTCCTCCTCTCCTCCTCCTCCTCCTCCTCCTCCTCCTCCTCCTCCTCCTCCTCCTCCTCCTCCTCCTCCTCCTCCTCCTCCCTCCTCCGCCTCCGCCTCCTCCTCCTCCTCCTTCTCCTCCTCCTGCCCCTCCCCCTTCCCCTCCTCCTCCTCCTCCTCCTCCTCCTCCTCCTCCTCCTCCTCTCCTCCTCCTCCTCCTCCTCCTCCTCCTCCTCCTCCTCCTCCTCCTCCTCCTCCTCCTCCCCCTCCCCCTCCTCCTCCTCCTCCTCCTCCCCTCCTCCTCCTCCTCCTCCTCTCCTCCTCCTCCTCATCCTCTTCCTGCTCCTCCTCCTCCTCCTCCTCCTCCTCCTCATCACCATCACCATCACCATCACCATCACCATCACCATCATAATCATGATCACCATCATCATCATCATCATCTCATCATCATCATCATCATCATCATCATCAGCATCATCAGCATCATCATCATCATCATCATCATCAACAACATCACCACCACCACCACCACCATCATCATCATCATCATCAGCAGCATCATCATCACCACCACCACCACCACCAACACCACCAGCATCACCATCATCATCAGCATCATCATCATCATCATCATCATCATCATCATCATCATCATCATCATCATCATCATCAACATCAGCAGCATCAGCATCATTTTCATCATCAGCAGCAGCAGCAGGATCGTCATCATCATCATCATCATCATCATCATCATCATCATCATCATCATCATCATGAACATCATCATCACCATGAGCACCATGCGCATCATCGTCATCACAATCAGCATCACCATCATCATCATCATCATCATCAGCAGCATCAGCATCATTTTCATCATCAGCATCATCATCGTCGGCATCATCATCACCGTCATCATCGTCAGAATCGTCATCAGTTTCGTCATCAACATCATCATCATCACCAGCATCATCATCAGCCTCATCATCATCATCTTCATCATCATCATCAGCATCAGCATCATCATCATCATCAGCATCATCATGAGCATCATCATCATCATCAGCATCATCACCATCATCATCATCAGCAGCAGCATCATCATTATCATCATCAGCATCATCACCATCATCGAATCATCATCAGCATCATCATCATTTTCGTCGTCATCATCATCATCAGCAGCATCATCAGCATAATCATCAGCATTCGCATCAACAGCATCATCATCATCAAAAGCAGCATCATCATCATCATCATCATCATCATCATCATCATCATCATCATCTTCATCCTCATCGTCATCCCCATCATCAGCATCATCATCATCATCATGACCATCACCATCACCAACATCATCATCAACAGCATCACCATCATCAGCAGCAGCATCATGATCATTCCCCTCATCCTCATATGAATAAACTGGCGAGAAACCCGTAGGCAGGCTGTACCACAGGAGTCCGAGCACTCGTCCTGCTCTGTTATGCTCCTCATCCCCCCTCCCCAATCTCGTCCCCGCTCGCCCTGCCATGCGTATCCTCTTTCCCATGCCCCTCCTCTTCTTCCTCCTTCTCCTCCTCCCGCTCGTCTTCCTCGTTCTCCTCCTCATCCTCCTCATGCTCCTCCCTCGCCTCACCTCCCTCCCGCCGGGACCCAGCCTTGGGGAGAGACGCTGGCGAGGCTGGCGCCCGAGAAGCCCGCGCTCGCGCAGGTGCTGCTGCCGCTTCCTTGCGGCGGCGGGGCGAAGAAGCCCTCGGGGCGGCCCCGAGCTTGTCATCGTTCGGACGTCCATTCCCTGTGCATGTTTCGCCTTCGTGCCCATTTTTCGCAAAATGACCCAGGATGCTCTTCGATAGTCCTCGCCGAAGACAAGTGCGCACGTCCGGGCGATGACAATCGAGTGTCGCAACACTCTGGGCAAGCGCTGATCCCCCAGAGGGTTCCACCCTCACGCCGACGGGCGACCCCGTATGCTCACCAGGCTTTGGTGTCGAGACCGATACAGCCAACACGTGTATTCGGGACGGATGGGAAGGACGCGCGACCCGTGGAGGCCGAAACCCCACCAGCCCTCTGTAGGTGGTCTGGGAAGTTTCCTCTTCCACCCCCCGTATTTCCCTTCGGGGAGGGGTTTACCCCTCCCCCCTGTCCTCGCCCAGGATGGCTCCAAGAGGGCCTCAGAGAGCCCAAGATGAGCTCTAAAATGGCTCAAGATAGCCCTAGATGCGTCAAGTCGGCTCCCAAAAACTTGAAAGGGGGTGGGAGACCCAACCAGCAGCTTCGCCTTAGGCGAAGCCAAGCTCCAGCTCTGTTGTACCGTAGCAACGATAGTCCCAGTAGCAGAAGACGTGCCATCTTAAGCACTAGGAGGGTCCTGTTGGTCCTGGTAACAATCGTGTGCTTCGCGGTGAGGCACAATCATATCTGGGCGGCCAGCCGTTTGCGCAGACGCGGCCGCGGTCACACGCTCGCTTCTGCTCCTTATGTCCTTAAGCTCGCTTTAGAGTCGGGGGGGAAGGAGACGAAGCGTGAGTCCGCCAACCCTTTGCAGCAGCTACAGCAGCTAATGTACAAAACGACAGAAATAGGACGGGCCATAAGGAAGGTGGGCCCGCACGCAAGTTGCCTTGCCTGTACGATTCCGTACTTAAAGATACTCCTCGGGCGGCTACATAACCAGATGTCTGGCCAGCCCGATATGGAGTATGCTCTTTAGGTCATGCTCGAAGGCCTGTATACCTCTCATGACCTGTCGATGCCCCCCTTGGTGTGACCACCCGCAGTCATATCGCGGGTGTCGCACCACTGCATACTGAGCGCGACCCCACGCTCCATCATTTGTCGTATCCAACTGATGTGCCCTACGAGGGTGCACTCTGTCGGTTTCCTCAAGTCTTTCTTGACATGGACTTGACAACAGACTCAGCATCTATGGTCAAAGTGACCTTGATGATCAGGCCGCCCAACTCAAGTGTGTTTTTCCACTGAGTGGGCGTGAGCGGCCCCGCGTGGATATCGTGCAGAGTCACGCCCGTGGGATAACAGTCCTCCGAATTATGGGCCGCTGCTAGTGTCTCTGCTGAATAACTCGAGCGGACCTGCAAGCGGCGAGACTTGCAGTGCGCATCGGTCAAGTGGACGACAGGTTTACCGAATGGCATGTTTCCACGCCGTAGCAGGTTTGCCCCGCGAATACCATTGCCTTTGACATCATCATCGGCGTCTCCGCTCAGGCGTCGGCATCCCGAGTCGCTGTGCAGGTCAGTTTCGCCCGTAGGGGTCATCGCCTGATCGGCGATATTCTTGGGGCAGGCCTGCAGCTGCCTGGTGGTCGCGCTCAGTCGTCGCACTCGAATATTGGTCGGCCCTTGGACACGTTGTAGAAATACAACATACACCATCAACCACACCTGGGTGATTAATGCATGCGCCAGCGCCCGCCTGAGGCTGACGAGCGCGTCTACAACCATCCTGGATGCCTGAGCGCCAGCGCCGGCGCCAGCAAGTTTTGGAGGTTGTATAGGACGGAGTTGATGGATGCATTCGTCTTGGTCCAAAGTAACATTGCCGTCCTCATCATTGGTAAATATCACAGCACAGTTGGTGCACGTGTGCTTGTTGAGTTTACACTTAACAAAGGTGTCTTCTACACACTTGACAGACTTGCCAACGGTGTCCTCAGTGCCAGCCATATGAATATCATCGACATGTTGGCCGTAAGCAGGTCACTGCCCGTCTCGAACTCCTCGTCGCAGGACGTGGGTCGGAGACCACACCTCGCGTGGCCTTCCTGTGCTTTAGTGAGAAAGCTCGCGGTGCATCCCTGGTGCCAGTGCCTGGTTTCAAGCACTGCAAGCAATGCTTTGACTCGTCGTAGTGTTCGAATCCTGGGAGATCCCGAAGAAGCGCGGCCGATCCAGGTGGAAAAGTAAAGCACGCCACGCGTTCCCCATCACCAGTTACCTCAGCAAGTCCCCGATAGGCCAACCCTTGCAGGAAGGCCATGTTGATGTCGAGGGATCCGATGACCCATTGCTTCTTGCACGCTTCAGTGCTAGCGAGTAGTCTCTGTGAAGCCAAGTTCTACATACTGCCCCTTTTCGTCTGGGTCCAGTCCGTAGCTGCTGTCTTCGGGCATGGAACACATGGGGACGTGATGCGTCTCCTCGGTGCCGGGGTCGCACGCGCGCCCCCACTTAGGCAGGTGTCCCCGCTGTTCATCAGCTACAGTGATCAGCGCACTTTGGTCTGGGACCAAGTGCGCGGGCATTGCGAAAAAAGTCATCCGGCGGAGTTGCCTCCAGCAGTTCCTTTCCATCTTGTAGTTCTGCATGCCCCACTCCCATGACGTGCGACTCGAGATCAGCCTCCGATTCCTCGCATATCATAGAAAGCCGACCATCATCATGTGGTGGTTCGGCTTCTGAGGCTTCTCTCGCGGTTCCATCCGGCGTCGGTGCACCCGCCAATTCCTTAAACCTTGTCGCGCCCTGGTCGAAAACCTGCTTGAGGTTTGGTGGATAGGCGCTGGGTGATTCTCGGGTGTGCTGACCCAGTTCTGTCGTATATGTTCTGCCTCCTGCTTCATAGTAGCGCAATCGTGGATCCACGTCGTTGTCATCATGGACCAACGTGCAGCTGTCAGCGTAAGCAAACGGAGGTAGCTTATGGATGCTCTTAGCTAACCTGACAGAAGCTACGTTCTCGATGCGGAAGAACTTTCGAACCAGGTACTGCAAGGCTAAATGTACCTGAGCAGATAGACTGCGTGTCCGTGGGAGCAAGATACCTGTTCAAAGGCCCGTGCCGTCTTTAAACCAATGATATTAATAGCACTGCCAATATCCAGAAGAAAGTCAACATACCATTGGTCAGGGTTCCACTGTTAGCTGCCAAAGCTAGTTCGTAACGTCCACCAAATAGTCCAGGCACTTCAGACAATGTCGTGCCACGCGTGCCTTTTGCGGCGCCGCTGCTCCAACGCCCAGTCGTTGCGTGACAAAGATGTAAAGACATTCGTATATCCACGAGCCTCTTCTTCCACCATGGGATTCCTTTCAAAGATCCAGGCTATAGGCTATTCGTCATATGTATGCGGGTGCGATGAGGAGGTAGTGGGCCAGTTCAGGAACACGTCCTCATCCGCGCGCGTGCCCATCGGACCATCCGTATTTACCATGAACACACTATGCAGCATATCGCGTTCGGATATCACACTATTGCCACTGCGCACGTTTGCAGAGCTCCCCGTCCTGCGCTGGTTGCGCGGACGAAGGGCTCGCCAATATGGCATGTGTGTATGTGGAGACTGAAGCCACTGAGCGCTCCTGTCGGTAGCCATTTCCATGCGCCTCAACCACGTGTCGTTCACTGGCACCGAAGGTGGTGCTGATGTAGCAGGTGTCCTTGCGTTAGTGTCGGTCTCTGCCACCAGTGGCATGGCATGGGCGTATCTATAGCAGGTGTCCCTACAAGTGTGGTTGCCTCCGTTAGTAGCCCCACGCTGGCTGATAAGGCAAGCTGCCCCGCTGGTGTCGGCATCGAGACTGCCGCCGTGTCCGTCATCATCGCCGTGACGCGGCTAAGCTCTTCACGGAGGTTATTGAGCCCGTTTGCCCCTCGGAGTATATCTTCATGACGATTGAGTGACTCACCTTCATGACGAATGAGTGACTCCTGATCCCCGGCAAGGGCGCAATGGAAACCGGCAGTAATTAGGCCCACACCCTTGCAGATAGCGCAGGGGGCCTCGCTCGCGGAACCTTCCATGTTCCCAGCCAACTGTCTATCCACATTAGCCTGCGCCACTCGATCCCAGCATTGCGCGTGCAATATGTGGCCGCACTGGAGCCGCCAGACTGTATCGTGGTTCATGAAATGGTATAGGCAGATGGCACACTTGTTGAAGCCGCCGTCACTGATAATGGGCGGTGTTGCCAATGGCTGATACGCGTCTGACGCTCCAGGGAGGACTCACCAGCCTCGTACCGAATCGGTGATGCCGTGGGTAGCTGTATTGATGCAAGCGTGGCTGGACTGCTCGCAGGTGTCCCTGCTGCCCTGGGATTGGCAGGTTGCCCCGCGTGGCTCAGCATTCCATTGGCCGGCGCTCCTGGTTTCGGCGCTGGAGGGCAGACTGCGTCGCCAGGTTGGCCTGCTGCACCTCATGTATGGCTAGCATATCAGGGCGCAGCCCTCCCATGCTCGATGGCAGCACTAGGCCTGGGGCCTGTTGCTGCACATCTTGATCCATGAGGGGGGCCAGATATCCATAGTAAGGTATCTGGCCTGGCACGCCTGATGCATACCCTGAGCCGCGCGTCAGCTGCGACTGGTAGAAATCGTCGGCCGTCGCCCGAACATATGGTGTTCCCACTCGGGGAGTACCGCTCACCTGAGAGTGATAGTCAGGATAGAGTGGGTGATCCATTCGTGCTGCTGTTGGACGGTCAGCAGACATTGGATCGCATGTCGGATGACTGATAAATGCTCGCAAATTTGTAAACCGATTGGGGTTGTCCGGCGATGGATTTGGATCCGGACACACTCCCAAGGCGGCGTGCAGTTGGCACTCGTGAGGTCCATGCCGCCCCTACGCATACTCTGAGCGGCTTCGCACATCTGCCGGTACATCCTTTCTTGCTGACCCCAAACTCTCGGTTCTCTGCACGGCATATAGGTCAGGATAAGCAGGTTGCTCCGCATGTGGACGTGGCGATGCACATGG